TCTCCCCTGTTGATACGAAATCTTGAAAAAATCACTTATATATAACTGAAAGGAAATTAAAAACACCTAAAAACTTACATTGCTCTGAGCTTCTAATGATTTCGCTTTCCTTAACCGACTTTTAGCTGCATCCAAATCCAAACGTTTAGTATTCAAAACCTTTCTTTCACGCTAAATAATGATCTTCTATAAATAATGATATTATCATCACTTGGATACTAACAGTTTAGATACTATTAACGGAAAGTTTAAAATTGATGCGCATAACAGTTTCTAAAAGTGTGTAGAAAACAAGAAGTAGTCTGGAGATTTAAATAAAAATCGAGGTAAATAAAATATACTTGGATAGTTTTCATGTCTCCTTCCAAGAATCGCCGAACAGGAAGAAGTGTATTGCTGGCACAGCTTTTGATAAAATCTTTTTCCCTAGCACCTAACTTGAATTCTACTTGAGCTGTTGCCAACAATGCATTACCTAAGACATATATGTCTCATAAAATTCTATACTGTATTTTTGAAATATGCGGCAACACCAATCACAAATTCAAAAAACATGAGGAGTTCAGAGTTTGAAATATTCTTGCTTTAAAAGAACCAAACAGATTACAAAGTTCCAAAATTTCTGCTAAATTCAGATTTACCATATGGTGTGTCTGCTCCAAATTCATTACCCGCTTCATTCATTGCATGACCCAACTGCTCCAAATTATTTAAACGATTATTATCCTTGCGCAATTCTAATTTCTCGTAAAAAACTTCCTCCATACGTATGGCTAAAACACAGATTTAATTTTTTCCATACAAATAATGAAGAAACTAAAGCATAGACCGTCAACAGAAAATGATTTTATCAAAATGAAATATTCATAAAAATTATACAGAAATTTACTAGGGTTAGGCTGCAAATAACTCTCCATAGCCGACAAAAGCTTTTTAGTATGTTCTTCAGTTTTATCTGCTCTTTGTAGTAGATTTTCAAAATTTGCGTCTAATTCTGTTTTTTCAGCATTCAAAAAAGTTTCTTCCGTTAACTGCAATCATTATTGTAAGATTTCAAATATTTTTCTATCAAGAAAAAAGGCATTAGTCACTGAGATTAATGCAAAATTTTGCTGATTCCTGTTTTCTAAAGCATGCTTTTTCTTCTTCAACTGAAACTTATTTATACTTCAAATATTGAAGAAAAAAAAAACTTTTATCACAAATTTTCCTCAATTTAAAAATTTAGTCAAGTAAATGGAAAAGATGTATTCTCAATTACTTTGAAGCAATCACTGCAATCAAAAGTAACTCTAAAAGAACGAATTTTTCCCTTCAAACAAAATAAATAAATGAATAAATAATTGGAGATAATTAAATGCAGAAATAAATAAAGGAAGAAATCACCTGTTTCGCTCGGTTGAAGAAACCGCTGGCATCGTTAGCAATTTTTTTGAAGTTGAAATCCATTGAAGCTGAAATTTATTTATATTTTTAATGTTGAAATGACAGTGAGCTTAAACAAGTATGATTCAGCTTTTATTAGATTACAAGGTATGTGCAATTATTTGCCAAATTATTAATCTCAACTTTGCATCTCAATCTATCACTGCTTTTCACCATACTGTCACTAGACAGATTACAGCCTGAACTGACTATAACTATCAGCCAAGCCCTTTTGTCCCATGACCCTTGACCGCTGAATTTTCTTACTACCCTAATTTACCATTTCAGCTATACCAATTACATACTAATTCATGTCTGTATTAAAACTCAGATAAACTGCATTCGTCATTTTTAATGCAACCCACAATGAAAAATTTTGTCTCTCCATAAAGAAAAGATAGACTCTCTGATAACCTAAATCTACTTTTGAGATAAGTAGGATTCAGTAAAAGTCTTGACGAAAAAAATGTTGAATTCTGAAAATTTTGAGTTTCTGTAATGTAGAAATGAATAAGTTTACTTACAAAAAGTTGTCAAGTATTGTTTATCATTACCATTATGGAACTGAAATACAGCATAAAAATACATATACTGATTGCAAGCAAACAAAAAAACTTGATTGAAGTGATAAGGCGAATAGAATAATCTTCATTGAAGAAATTTTGATTTGTTGATGTTATGCGGATATTTTTGGGATATGTTCTTCTGTTTGGGATATTTCGGGATAATGACAAAACAATATTTTATTAGTCTTTCAAAAATAAATAAATTTACATTAGTTTCTATTTTTTTTTTTGCTCAATTTTGCAATTTTGACCTGTAACAAATACAATTTTAATCATAATTTAAATAAAATTACATTTCGCTAACAAGTCCAGAATTTTAATAAAAAATATTGGAATAATTACGAGTAAAAACTTACTGTAATTATGCGCTTTCGATGCTTAACTTTTTTAGAGAGAATAATTTTCTTGTTCGTTTATTTGTTGTAAGCATCTTCGTTATTCGTAATTATCTGTTACTTAAAGATTTTTAAAAATTTAAATAATTTTTTTCTATCATTTTATTAATAATAATATTATAATTTTTTGTTTTTGTTAATTATAATATAAAGCAATAATATAATAATTCTAATAATATAATAATTATTTTGTTAATCCAATAAGAAAAGTGCGTTAATTTTTTTTTCCAAAAATTTTAAAAGAAAAAAGTTTGTTAATAAATGTAATCCTCTGAGATTCGCTTATATTTTTTTATAACTAAATTAATTTGAAATATTTTGAAGTAAAACTCTTTTCAGTATAGTGCCGATTTTATTTAATGCTTGAAGTAATAAAATAAATTGGGACAAACATAATCTTTAATTACCGTTAAAATAAAGCAAATGTCAAAGGTTGATAATGCCAAATTAATGCAAAAAGTAATTAATATAAGAAATGAAATAAGATAATCACTAAATTGTTACACCAAAAGTTATTACTAAAGTTGAATGAAGTCAATAATAAATTTAAAAACTGACCAAAAGCAATTTTTGATTAAATAGATGAAAGTAAGTTTCAAGTAATTATTGAGAAAATATTTAGTAGTATTTAATTTTTATGCATTAAAGTTTTATTCAAATTCAGTATTTAGTTTTTGCAAATAAAAACTTTATATATTTTAGCATAGAAAGTAAGCAAAAATTTTTAGGAATGATTTATATTTGATTTGAGATATAAATATGACAAATTGCTATTTAGAAATAACACAAGCACAAATTATGCTTATTGAGTTACCATTGGCAACCACTTTTGGCCAACTTTTCATTTTACTTTGCAAATAATTTTTCTATTTTTTCAAACAAGCAAAGAAATTTTTGAATATTTTTACATTTTAATCGTACTGAATATATTTAAGTATTCAAATTGCATTAAAAAAGTTAACAAGAAAACTTTTAATTACTTTAAAAATGAGTACCATTTTGATTATATAATTTTTTAAGTTCAGATATGTCAAGAAATTTTTATATTGCTGTATTTATACATTTTAATATTACTAATTAATTTTTAAAATCAGTTTGAGAAATTTATAATTTATCCGGGTAAAAATGTGAAAAAATTTGTAAAAAAAACATGCAAATCCGTTAGCTTTAATCTGTATCAATTTTTCATGTTAATATTCAAATTTTTAGTGCATTTTTTTGAGATGCGACTTGAAGTGGTAACAACTCAAAAGACAAAGCATAAAGATTCGGTACTATCGGTGGCATGGATAGGAAGTGATGAAGTGGTCAGTGCTGGAGATGACCAACAAGCTTTAAAATGGAATCTAACAACTTATGATGCTCAATTATTCATGCAACTTCCTAAGTAATTTTTTGATTTTAAAATTGTTGACAAAATTTAACCCACTGTTTGATATCCAATAAAAATAAGTAAAAATAATACAAAAAGCAAAAAACAGTATGCTTTCAAGAAATTTAAAAACCAAAGTTAGTAGTAATGATTGCAAATTTATATTTATTTATTATCATAAAATAAAAATTCTTGAATATGCTTTGAAAAAATATTATAATAAAAATTCAATTCTAAAAGGATAAATGGCTTATGCAAATTTTGAAAATACTTGAAATAATAATTTTTAGATCACTTTATCCAACAAATATGCAATGGTTTCCGTATGATTCTTGCAAACAACAGTTTAACGAAATTTTTTTCATTCTGACATCAACAGAAGGTTATTAAATTTATTTCTGACTTATGTGACCTAAATTAGTGAACTTTTTATAAATTACAAATTAAATTAAATCTACCACAAATATTTTGTTAATGAATTTATTTAATTTAATTTGTAATTTTTAATTACGAATTTATCAACTATACAGTCATCAAATCAGAAATTTATCAACAGTAAAGTTTTATTTAGGCAAATTTTACATTTGTAATCGAAATGGTCACATTGAAAAAGCTGTAGAAGCTCATCAAGGGGCAGTTTTATCAAGTCGTTGGAGTCATGATGGTTCCACTTTTGCAACTTGTGCGTTTTACGTGAAATATTTTTGAAAACATATCTAAAATTTTGTTTTTTATCGACCATTAATTGAAAATATTTTTTATTTCATGCAATTTTGATGAAAATTTTTTGCATGTCATAAAAAGTAATAAGTGGCTTATTTAATCTTTTTTTTTTTGAATTCCAAACATGTAAAAGTTTCTCACAAATTCAATTCTTTTTTTACGCTCAAAAAAAATGCATAATCTGTTTGCTTAGCAAACATATTTTCTATTGCAAAGTTATGAAAATTGAGGTGGTGAAGACGGTGTCGTAAAATTATGGTCTCGAAGTGGAATGCTTCGAAGTATTATATCTGAGAATAGTTTTCCAGTTTATGGCATCTGTTGGAATGAAAACGATTCTTGCATAGCATTTTGTTGTGATGATCGTATCTTTATCAAGTCTCTTAAATCTCAAGTAAAATCTGTCATAAAAATCAGTTGTTTTTTTATTTATTGTAGAATGAACAATTTAATCTTGGAATCACGTAATTCAAAATGACGTTATTACCACGTTTTAAAATAGAATGACAAGTGTACTTTGCTGAAATTTCACTTTTTGAAGGTATAAAATATGAATAATTTTAAAAGTGCTCAAATTTTCTATACATGTAATAAAATCTCTTTACTTTGACTGTATTTAGAAAACTATTTCAGGCTTAAACGATGTTAGTGATCTTTATTTAATTCCAATCAAAATTCAAAATTTATGCCACCAATTAATCGCTCTCGTTGTATTCATCATTTTTGGTACTGTATTACAGTATAGTTAATTTATGAAAAATTCAATTTTGATTTCAGTCACCGTTGACAAAATGGAAAGCACACGATTGTGTAGTTTTATGCCTAGATTGGAGTGTTCACTCAAATCTTTTAGTAAGCGGAGGAGAGGATTGTAAATATAAAGTAAACTTTCATCAAATTTCCGAATTTTTTTGACTTACTTATGTTATTACTTTTGCGTATTTAAAATTTCATATATTTTTTGAACAAGAATGTACTAAAAATTTGATTCTACTTCATTTGAAAAAGTTATTTTCAGGTTTGGGATGAATATGGACGTGTTGTGTATTCCAGCAGTGCACAGAATTATCCCATTACGTCAGTTGCGTGGAATACTGATGGTGATCTGTTTGCTGTTGGATCATTTAATTTGCTTAGATTATGTGACAAAGCTGGAGTAAGTCGGTTTAATTTAGCTCATTTTTTACTTTTTGTTTATAACAATTAGTTAAATCATAAAAGTGCTAAAATGATCATAAAAACAATTTTTGTCTTATAAATTTATTTTTGGATAATTTCCAGTAATCAAGATAATACTTTCCTCTGCAAAAAAATGTTAAGAATTATTTGAAATCATTGATTAACTTCACCCAAACATTTTTCTTTCAATAACAAACGAAACCACAGCAAAAACTAATTCTAAGAATTGCAGTGGTCACATTCGTTACAAAAGTTATCTACTGGTAGTATTTACAGTATCAGTTGGTCCCCTGATGGTACTCAATTAGCAGGAGGTTGCTCTGATGGAACCGTTTTACTCGGTTACTTAGTTGAAAAGTAACTGTCACAAATTTTTGCATAAAATTTGAAATCTAGTAGTTTATAGACTTCATGTTCAACGTTTAAAGAGCTTCGCACTTCAGCCACTTGCTTCACCACTTCACAGCTTCACACACCAGCTTCGCGCTTCAGCTTCCTGCTTCACATGCTTCCAGTACTTCACCATTCAATACAGATCTACGTGTCTAAAACGTGTCTAAAACTCTGATAAAATAAAAGTTTTCAAAGTGATCAGTTCGACAAATATGTTTAAAATTTTTAAAGATATGAATCGTAATTAAGCATGGTGGTTTAAGACGCCTTACCTGGAGAAATATTGAAGCCGTTCAGATCAAACCCCAAGTAATCGATATTCGAGATGTGCTCTCTGATTTAGCTCGAGAAAAACTTGAAGTTCGAGATCGAATTACCAAATTATCGCTTAGTTTTGATCATTTTATCATTGCTACTACCAGACAATGCTATATTTTTAGGTTTGTGCACATTTTTTGGGGTCGAAAATGACTCTTTGATTCTATTTATATCACAAAAATATTTGATAAGAGTTGTCGTAAAAATAAATTTCCCTTAGTAATATCTGAATACGTATACTATTGACAAAACAAAAATAAACTATTAGATTTTTAAAAAAATTAATCTTTCTTTTTCCTCAAAGTTTTCAAAATTTTTACAAATTTAGTAAGAAAAAAATTAATCCAGAAACAAACTTAAGATATAGTTTTTAAAAAGAAATGAAATTTCACGTAAAACACGTTTTTCAACTGAAGTGTTATAGTGTACGAAATTGGAATACACCGATTATTATGGATTTGAAGGAATGCAATGTTCTGCTGATGAAACTTTGTGAAAAGTAACTTAATTCCTTCTTCATATTTTTGCATTATAGATAGGTTCAAAAATAAAACAACCAATGAAATTTTTTAAAAATTTCAAGAAATATAATCATTTCAAATTAATTCATCAACTGGATAGTTACTACACATCACTTCAAAATATTTTAAGCTGTATCCTATATATATACTTGCGATACTGAAATGAAGCTATGAATATCAGAAGGCGATTCCATGATAGAATCAGAGATTCTTTGTGAAACATTTGAAATCTAACCAAACCAAAAATGGTATAATTTTTAGATATTTTTTGTTGGTTGACGGTGGCTTAATTCAAATATATAATTATGATGGCCGAATGCAATGTTCAATTAAGTTGCCTTCATTGAAAACAAATATAAATGCAGTTAATGAAAAAGCAATCGCAATATCAAACGATACAGTAGCTATTCGAGATCGAACTGATTCTAAAATTATATACTTTTTTGAGACAACAACTGGTAAAAGTACCGGAAATGGAAAACTTATACATACTGTAAAGATTCCACATTAATTTGTTATTAACTGCTATAAATTGTCGTAGTTTAAGCATGACATCTTTATCGAATGATCTTATTTGAGGTATTTGTAAAATCACAAATCACATTTTTGTAGATTTTTCACTACAATTTATTTTGATTAAAAACTAATAAAAGAAAAAAAAAACTGATATAGTTAATGAATAATTTCTAAAATTTAAATAAAAAGTGCAATTTGTATTGAATAATTTTTGAAATCAGTAATAAAATTATGATGAAAAGTATTTTCATAATTAGAAATAAAATCAAATAATTACAGAATGAGATAACTGAATTAGCGATTGATCAGTGTGGATCAACAAATAACCGAAAATTAGCATTTATTGATAAAAGTCTAGATTGTTACTTAGCATTAGTGAAAACATATGGTATCTCACAAAAAGTTGCTAAAATTGGTAAGTTTTTGCATATTTTTAATTAATCATTGATTAAATTAATAGAGAGAGTATATTAAACTTATATTATGAATACTTTTAAAAAATTTAGTTTAAGGCAGGACTCTTTGACTCTTTTGCTTTCCTGTTAAATATTGCTCTTAAGCAACTTTTCAAAATCAATCAAAAATTCTAAACTTCGATCATTATTGATTCAAAGTGAGCTGGTAAATTTGAGGTACAATGGTAACAAATATTCGTTTTAATGATCATACAAATATGCTTGCTGGTTTGCAAGATAATCATTTAATTATTTGGCTATATCCAGCGACTGTTTTCATTGATCGAAATTTACTTCAAAAAACTGTACTTGAAAAAGATGATATTGATTTTGGCAAATCACCATATTTACTCACGTTTGTCAAGCAATTTAATTTTTCTAATACTGAATAAATAACTTGTTTATTTTTATACAAGTAACTTTCAAAGTTTTAAGAAACAAAAATAATTACCAAACTTGATTAATTACCGGAACAAAAATAATACCAGATTTCATTGCTTAACCATACAAATTTAAATGTGGTCATTTTTTAGCATGAAAATAAATCAATAACTGAGCTTTAAAAGTGAAAAGGTCTGAAATCATAAATCATGTCATTATTTGCTACCTAAAATAATATTTCTTGTAATTAATGGTGAATGAATACAATTGATTAGATCCGTGTAGTACGTGCAAGCAAATTTATTACTGTCTGTTACAGTTTTGTAGGCAACCATATTTCGGTAAGACGTTCAGATGGCGCATTAATTCCTTGTACAATATCTCCATTTCCAGCAGCATTGATCACATTGCTTACTGCTAGCAAATGGGATCAATCAATTCGCCTTTGTCGACACGTCAACGTAAGTGTAAATTTGTGCCAAAAAAACAAATCTAAAATTTTATATTCCGAATTGTTAGGAAGATCAATTATGGGGAATCATGGCAGTTGTCGCTATTGATAAGAGGAATTTTTACGCTGCTGAAATGGCATACAGCGCACTGAATGAGGTAATGGAATAGTAGTTATTAGCAAATATTTGAACTTTTATGATTAAAATCCATTTACTAAGTAAAAAATTTAGTAATGGAATCATTAAAATTATAAATTCTTACACTTCAAATTTTTAAAATTAAAAAATTTTATTTCATTTTTTAACACAAATATTAACTGGAAATTCAAATTCATCAATTACCGAAGTTTTTTTTCGTTTTTTTACCAAAGTGATTACTTTAAAAATTACAGACTTTATAACTAAAAATAGATGATTAAAAATCATAAAGACATTAGCATTAACGTAATTATAGGTCGAAAAAGTACTGTTTCTAACAAATTTACAATCAGAACAAAGTAAGGATGTTAGATCAGCAATGATGGTGGCATTCACGGGGAACTTCAAGGAAGCTGATGCCATGCTTGTTCAAAGTGGACATATTTTTCGAGCTATTATTTTTAATATCTCGATTTTTCAATGGCAACGGTATAACAAAATTGGAACAATATTTTTTATTGATATTTTTTGGTAATATATTTACAAAAAACAATATCATGGATAATTCGTACTAATTTTTCTTTAAAATTTACTTCTAAAATTGTAAAATTATTATTTTTGTTTGTCTAATTTATTAATACTGCTTGTTCATAATTACAACTGTTTGAATCATAAATTATTGAATTATTGTTGTCATATTAGCTATAGACCAAAGCTAGTCCAAAGTCATTGAAAATTCTTGTGTTTTGCAGAGCATTGGAATTAGCAGTAAAATATAAAATGCATTTGGAGACAGTAATTGGCTATCGTCAAAAATACTTGCAAGAAACAGGACGTAAGGAAACTGATGCAAATTTCTTGCAATATCAGTCTGAGGTGAATTTTGGTAATTATTCATAGTTTAATCCCAAAGTCAAATTTTATACTCCACAAAGCTTTACTTCTAGTATCACTTTGAATAAATCATAAATATCTATTGCATAGCAAAGTTCTATTTCTTTTTTTTTCTTATAAATTGGAAACATTCATTACTTCATTCACACTAATAAATGAAAGCACTATTTTTTTATTAAAATTAATTACGAAAAAAAGATAGCAAAAATATGAGTTGTATAAATTTACGAGAATGCATAATCCTATAATAATTTTGCAGGTAGAAATTGACTGGGATCATATCCACGAATTGATTCGGGAAGATGAGAATAAACAATTTTGACTTATTTCTCAAGCAGAAGAATAATTTTTTGAATTCATTTCCGTCTTTCTTTTATTGTGAACTTTGAACTTAATGCAAATATAATAAACAAAAAGTAGAACATCAATAATGTTTGTGTTTGATGCATGACTGCATTTCAATACTTTGCAAATACTTTCTGAAATCCCTTCTGCTTGTTACTCGCTGTTAAAAGCGAAATTAAATAATCAATCAACTAGTCGATATTACTTACTCTACCGATAGCTTTCACTCAATCATTATTTTCTATTTTGCTAATTGTTAACAGTAAATTTTTGCAAATATTTCATACTCAATATTTGTCAATGATTGTTTATAATAGTACGTACGCTTTCGTTTTAATCCTTTCAGTAAAATTTCAGCACAATAACTTTAATGTCTAATTCTGTACAATTTCTGCACATTTTACTTCATAAATTGATTTTTCTAAATCTTTTGTTTCCATCTGTAATACTTTGTACCTCTCATGATATTTTAATTATAACTGAATTCAAAATTAGTTTCTGAAATATTAAGTTAATACAGATGATTAGTAGTAGTACATACTAAGGAGTAAAACAAAAGTTGAAAATGTGAGATATGAAATCAGTTTCATTATAGAATCTTCACCTGTGCAAAATACAAGTGTAAAGCAGTTAAGCACCTGTCATGATGTAATGTCATCTACACATTCTATTTAGCTATATCTGTTAATCTATCCATGTACTTCATTATATCCATCTATCTACTTGCCTTCTATCTACCTATCTATCTATCTATCTATCTATTCATCTACCTATTCATCTACCTACGTATCTTTCTATCTATATATCTATTCTATGTTTAGATTTGAACAGAAAATTCATCTTATATTGCGTCTACTTTATCCCACTAACCCCCAATGAGTGAATAGATGAACACAGATGCACACACAGACACACATACACTGAGGGAAGTGCTTATAATTTATGCTTTCTGGCAACGGTCTAGCCAACTTGTCTTATTTCATCATCACTTTCCCATGGATTTCAACATCTAGTCTTCTTTCCTTCCTCTCCCTTCTCTTCTCTTTCCTTTCCTTCTCTTCTCTCAGACTCTCTCTTTACTTTCATTATTCCTTCATCTTACTATCTTTACAGTTTTCTTACTTTTTGAATTTTTTTTTCACCTAAAAGTAATTTATTTTCAACTTTCTACCATAAATATATATATATATTTTTTAAATGAAATTTTCTAACTTTTTGAATAATTAATTCGTATTGTAAGAATGTTTAAAAGTTGGTGGCAAAGGTATACATTACTGAAATTCAATTTCCCCTTTACTTCAACATTTTGGAAGTGCCATTTTAGTACTGAAGAAAATTAAATTTGCAAGAATATTTTTTTCTGCTACAAACTTTTATCTATTCAGTCATATCAGAGTAAGTAATTAAATTGTTCACAAAACTAAACATTATACATCTATCTATTCATTGCTAAAGCTATTTTTATACATTAATCAATTCAGCTAACTATAGTTAGCTTAAAGTTCATCAGTTCATCTCAGTTTTGCTAGAAATATTTAGCTAACTTTTTATGCAGCTAATAGATGGATACGTTTCATGTTTACACTGTTTATTTAAATTAATTGCTTTTCATTGAAAGTTAGATTTTTTTCCTTACTTAGATATATAAATGGAAAAAATGAAGAAAAATTTGGGTTTTTATAGCACAATAAATACTTTACTTTTGTGAAAACATTAATTACTTACTCAAAAGTGTTGTCAGTAAGTCTTAATTTTAACAGACTGTTCATTTTATTTCCGCATATGAAAGAGACTCCTTTATTTCCGTTCTATATGACCTGAGCGCAAAAGTACACACTTCACACATCTATTCTTCTGTCTATCCGTATATCAATTTTTTTAAACTAAGACACAATTTTTGTTATTTCAAGAATGAAATGAAGCAAAAATTAAGTGGAGAAAAGTTCACTACACTGCTGAAATGTCTTTTAATTAATTCAAAAAATCTTTTTCAAAAATGTTAGTGATCAGTGCAAAGTTAAATTGATAGTAATGGTTGGTACAGTATTAGATTGATTATTGCAAGATTGAAAAGAATGAATGAGTCATATCTACGATTTTAACAAATAAACAGATTAAATTTGAATTGGTCTGATCTATCTCGGTTTGATTTAGATAAGATAAAGTGATTATTTGATTGAAAAAGAAATGATTTAATAGTTTACATTTTCTTAACCTTTTTAACATTATTTTAATGTTAATTTTGCCGTAGTTTCGAAAAGAATAAATAAAATTTCCTACAAGTCAGACCTCCTTCATTTTCTATTCATTTTACTTTCATTTTTTCGTTTCTTTTTCCCTTACTTGCTTGTCACTCATAACTTACTAGAAATAAATAATTAGTTCAATAATGATAAAACTTAATTTTTGCCGTATCTTGATTGACAAATTTTCGAAAATAGCAAGTAACATTGTACTTCACTTTCCGATAATAATGGGTGAAAGAATTCACTTCAGTCCTTACCACTATCTCTTCTTATCACTCAGAACAAAAAAACTATTTAATCTATTTGATTAATAAATTATGATTCAGAAATCTGAAATTTAAGAAACTGATTAATTTAATCTTGTTTTCGATCCACTGCAGTTAGTTACAAATGAAGTTTTTTTCCAAATTTTATTCTAGGCATAGGTGTCAATGACGTCTTCGAAAGAAAACCCAAGAAATTAGTTAAATTAATAAAACTTTTTTTAATCTCAAGTATACTAAAAATTATTAAAAAACATATTTTCATCTTTGTGCAGTGCAAATTTTCTCAGCTTTGATCTTTTAAATTCAAAATAAACTTTTTATTGTATTTGTTATTAGCATTATAAATGAAATCGATGCAGAAATATAGATAAAAATTTATTTCACAAAAATTGATAATTTTTAGGCATATAGTCGAAAATTGTAATGCGAATGGTTATATCATCTTGCTATTTATCGATTTTGCAAAAAAGGTTGTGAATTCAAGTTTAGAAAGCAAAATCATATGGTTTTTTTTATCCATTGCATGGTATTCATTTGCAAATTATCTTGACATTATTCATAATAAAATGGTTTATCTTTTGTAGTTTTATGCAAATTATTGCTTGCATTTATTACGCAACTATTGCTCTTCTTCTTACTGAAAGTAAGGTATTGAAATCGGTTGTAAACAATAATAAATGTGAAAGAGATGTTATTTTCCTTCTTCATTCAGTGATAACAAAATAGTTTGAAAAATAATTATTGTAAGAACAACAGTAAAACGATAATATAATTAATGCTTGTTGAGTTTGAAGTGGAATTAAGTTTAAAGAGACCAATCACAAATCAGGCGAATAATTAATATTTCTCGTTGTCTTGAGAGCACGTTAAACAAGTAAGTGATAACTGCATTAGGCTTTTAATTATTTTACTATTTTTATAATAAATTGAAAAAAATATTTTGGTAAAAAAAAAAGAATTTTGAGGAATTTCATATCATAGGACAGAGGTTTATCGCAAACAGCAACCGAATTGTTTGTTGAGGAGCATATTCCATCTTGTAGCAGATGGCTCTTACAAGTTTGTTTACTTTCATCTTTCATCCAAAAATTTCCAGTTGCTTTGGATGACCTTTTTGACTTTTTGTATCTTATTTTTAATTTTAATTTTTATATTTACTTTTATTCTCGTCTTTTTCATCCCTATTCTTTTTGTTATATTTGAAAATCTGTTCCTTTAATGCAATTATTTGCAAAAGTTTTTGACTTCAAATTTGCCAATTTTCAGTTCAGTTACTTTTGAATGTTTTTTATGAAAGTAAATTCGAAATTATAATTTTCAATTAAATGTTATTGCTTAGTTTTATTCTGCTCTAGTCGTTTTATTAACTTTTTAATATTTCTGCATTGCATTCAGTGTAAGTTAAAATGGATAAAAAGTATAACAACTTTTAACGGAATAAAAATTTAATCAGTAAAAACTTTTAAGAGTTTACAAAATTGAATCAAGACATTTGTCTTTGAAGTAATGGTCTGATTAATTTTTGACACACCAGACCAATCAATTTTCGAAGTGAATAAATTTTTATCACATACTTCATTATTTGAAAAAAATAACTTTGACAGTTAATAGTTCTGTATTGATGTAAAATAGCTCCTCAAAATTTGCGAAAAATGAACTATTTATGTCATGTAAACTTCACAATTTTGATACTTTTCTTGAAATGTGTTTTTTAGAAGGAACATATTATTTACTACGGATACTATCTTTTTCATGTAATGAAATCTGTGCTAAAAATTTATTTTATTGGTTACAAAGTTTTGATTTTGATAGAAACAAAAAAGAGTTATGTGCAGTAAAGAAGCTGTATATTTCGAGAAGTATTCATGAATCAATTTGATTTTTTCTTGCTTTCTTTCCTTTTCTAAACTTTATCATTAAATTTTCTTAGTAATAATTTGTTCTTTTTCTGCATATGCAAATAGCTTTATCTGCGGGCATTTTTTATTAAGGGTACTCGAAGCTTTGCATAAAACTTTTTACACAACCATAAATTAAATTAATTATTATTATATATCATGTATTCCGTATCTTTTCTGACAAAGTAAAAATGAAGTGTCAAATGAAGTATTAATGCTTGCTTTCGAAATTGCTATTTTTTTGTTAAAAATTATTATGCCTTTAAGTTATTCGTTCCACAGTTTAGCACTATTATATATTTTGTTATTTATAGAATCCATCCTTAATTAGCCATGCATATATTGCAAACAAATAACTACAGATGATAAAGAAGCAATTTTTTTTTCTTGTCTAATTTTAGTAATTAAAAGTTTATCATTCATGAACGTATTTTACTAATCTCAAGGCTTTGAAAAGTTTTATTCAAATAAAAATTTAAAAACTTCATACTTATGTTGAGAACTAATATGATATTGGCGATGAAAATTCCATCATTCAAGGAACAGTGATAGTAATGATAAGACGAAAATTTTTTGCAGAATTTAATTAGTTTGGCAATTATTATTATTGAAAATGGGAAAAATTTGTTACTTAAAAAATTTCTTAACCAGTTTATGAACAAAGTCTATACTTGGACAAGTACCTGTGACACTTTGACTGAAATTTTGTGCAAGATAAAATTAATGTTCCTGTCATTAAATTTTTTAAATAAGTTAATCAAATATTTATTCTTCGCAAGTATATATAACGTTAAAATGATGGCTTGGTTATTACAAATGTGATATTTGAAAAGTAAATAAATACAAAATAATTGCAAATTTCATATTGTGTATTTCAAATGGAACTATCATTTTTTCCTTTTCCAATTAGGTGTCAGTTTGTGATTGCTTTCATTATCACTGATAAGATTATTTTCACTGTACAGTAGATGCATTCTTGGAATAATGGTAATAATGATAATAATTTTTTTCAAAAGATGATTTGTTTAGCAAAGTTATTGATAGAATTTTGATCATGAAATCGTGACATGGCAAATTTTTCATTATTATCCTGTTTTTACATAATTTTAGTACTCATATTTGTGGAGATTCAAAGCTTGTATTTGTTTGACTAGTAGAATTTGTGATATGTTGTTGATCGCAAAAAATATTTTAAGGATAAATATTTTATTGAAATTTCGCGGATTATAATTGAAACTTTCAACTCTAATTGCTGTCATTTAAAAATCAATTCTTGAAAGTTATCTCGAAGAAGAAACTTAAAAATTTTGTTCACGAACAGTTATTTAAAAAAATGGTTTAATGTTTATGTGTAAAAATAAGATGGATTTTATTTTATGAATTTAAAAAAATTAAGGTTGAAATTTTTAGTTCAATAAATTTTAATTGAATAACTTCAAAACTTTATGTTTTTGCTAGCTTAGCTGAGCAAAAGTATTCATTAAACGAAATTTCAGATATAATTATCTATATGTATTTTTCATCGTTATTTGCAATCAAATTTTTCAAAATCAAATTACATATATAAATCAATATCACACGGAGATTATTCTTCTTTTCTTCATTATTGATTCTGGCGCTAGATCGTATTCTGACATTCTCGCTGCACCCGCCCCGCGCTCACAGTTCTGCTGTGCTGATCGACGCTGCTTTGTCCTCGTCCAATCCACGGTGTCAGAAACGGTGGAAATTCCGTATTCGCATGGTAACTGTCTGATATTGTGGTCTATAGCTTTGAAGTCTTCTGGCTCCAGCTTAAACGCTTAGACGTAACAGTTTATTAGGCTTATGGCGTGCTCATTCACAGCGTTGATATAAAGTTCTTGTCATTTAGTGCAATTTTGGCTAACCTCTCAATTCAAAAAATTTCTGCACAGACTTTATCGTAGCTTTCACGGGTAGGTGCACTAGTCTCGTCTTCTACTATTCCAGGGTATTTATACCCTTGAGTTCCTTGCCGCTTTATCAGCGCATACCTCGGTATTGGCGACCGACTTTGTTAAATTTACTTCTAGTCCTACCACATCAAGAAACTTTTCAACTTCTGCCATAGATTTCAAGATATCCTCATCGGTCACAAAGATCCTGACATCATCCACAAATAACAAATAATTCGTAATGTGCATTCCTTGATCAGTGGGAACCGCCACTTTTGGGTACATTTTATCGAGTCGACGGCTCAAGGGGTGCATGCACAGGACGCATAGCAGCCGAGAAAGGCTATCACCTCGGAGAATTCCTCGTTCTATTTTCTTTCCTATTATAATTTCTACATTGCTTTTCAATGTAACCGACCATCTGAAGGTGATGGTTCTCAAACAGAAACCTGCTGATCCACGATGACATATTAAGCCTTTCAATGCACTTAATCAGGTATCCGTGACTAACTGAATCGAACGCTTTTTTGATGTCATACCACGCAGTGTAAAGCTGATTCCCGTGCTCCTTGCAAACGCCAGGTTCAACATTGCTTGTTTGTTCGCACCTTGAACCTGAGTAACAGTCCCTTTATTGACTGTCTGCAAGCAGCTTTCTCATGGCAACATCTAACTGCATGACGGGAGCCACACATTTCGTTGTTAACTTGTAAATGTTCGACATAAAAGATATTGGCCTGAAGTCGCTTCCTTTACTTGGCACACTATTTGGAATCAGGTAGGTAATACCTTTATAGAACTATGGATCATGTTCCTCCTCATCCAGACAAATCCTCTTTGCTATTTTGTACAGGTCTGGACGCAAGAAGATGCATTTCTTAATAAAGAAGTTATAAACTCCATCAGGCCCTACTGCTTTCCAGTTGGGCAAATAGAAGACTATCTTCTCCAATTCAACTTCAGAGGGAAAAGTATGATGCACTTCATCACCTGGAACGAAGCTTGCCTTCCACTCCGATGGCTTATTCTCTCGGCTCGTCATGTCTTCCTAACGTTGTTGTGCTGCCTTGAGCTGCCGTGCAATATCAGTCATTAACTTGGGGGGATTCTGTGTAGCATATTC